GGGCATCGACAAGCATGGCCACCCCATCCTCTACCAAGGTGGCCGCATGATGTGCAATAACTTCAATGACCTGGGCTGCTCTGTTTCTAGTTGCAGATTTTTGCAGACCTGCTCCTTCTGCGGCTGTGCTCACGCCCCGTCCTCCTGTCCCCACAACCCCACCTGACTAGCACGCCACCTAGCCACGCTCATTAAGGTGAGTGCTCTACTCTCCGCCTTAAAACACCATCCTGATCGGGATTTCGTTGCGTTTCTTATTCATGGCTTCACTTTTAATTTTCACCCAGGTCTAGTGACCCTCCCAGATCGCACCACCCACTGCGCCAACCTTCAGTCCRCCCTCTCTGAGCCAGACGTAGTTGATGCCCTCTTAGCTAAAGAAGTCCAGGACCGATTGATGATTGGTCCTTTCAGCCAGCCCCCCTTCTCCGTCTTTTGTGTCAGCCCCATTGGCATTGCCACCCTAAAATACTCAGGCAAGAAGAGGCTGATCATTGACTTATCCGCCCCTCACAGGTCCCACGTACCAAGCATTAATATTTTCATCCCTTTCTCAGACTTTTCTATGCAATATGCTACCATCAACCATGCCATCCGCCTCATTTGTCTGGTAGGCAGGGGAGTCTGGCTCTCAAAGGTGGACATTTCTAGCGCTTTCAAGGTCTTGCCCATTCACCCAGACTTCTGGCGCTTCTTTGGCGTGTATTGGAAGGGCACTTACTACTTTGCAGTTCGGCTCACCTTCGGCTGCCGAAGTAGCCCCAAGATTTTTGATTCACTGTCCGAAGCTCTTTGCTGGATCCTTCTTAATAATTTCAGRCTCCYTTAMGTTCTCCACCTTCTGGATGACTTTCTTATCATCACCCCTCCCTCCTCTTCACCTTGCTCAGGGCTCTGCGCTCTCACCCATGCCTTTTCAGATTTAGGCATTCCTCTTTCCGAAGAAAAGACAATCGGTCCTCTTGCTTCATTGGAGTTTTTAGGCATCACCCTAGACTCCTCCTCCTTTCAGGCTTCCCTACCTCCTGAGAAGGTGCATTGCATCACCCTGATCCTCTCTAACTCCATGCTCATAGATTTATGCACCAAACATCAGCTGTTGCCTCTTCTCGGCCACCTAAATTATGCCATCTGCATCATCCCCCAGGGGAAATCTTTCATTTCCCATCTTTTATCCACCACTGCCAGCGTCCCGTCACTTTATGGCCGTCTTACCCTTGATGATGCCTGCAGGATGGAAATGAAGCKCTGGCACCATTTTTTGTCTTCCTGGAATGGCATCTCTTTCTTTTACAATGATTTCATCTCCCATCCAGATGACATTCAGCTCTACACAGATATCGCCCTCTCCATTGGGTTCGGTAGTTTTCACAAAGGCAGATGGTTTGCCTCCACTTGGCCCCCGGAGGTTGACTCCCTGCAATCAGATTCGGCCTCACCCTCTTCTGCTTTGTATGAGCTGTATCCCGCTGTCATCGCAGATCTCCTTTGGGGGCACGAATGGTCCCAGCACTCCATCATCATCCATTCCGATAACACAGCTGTCGTCGAAATAATTAACAAAGGTCGTTCTCATTCCTTAGCCATCATGCAACTCATGCACAGACTTACACTAGTTTCAGCTCAACATCAGTTTCTGCTCAGGGCAGCTCACGTTCCAGGCTATCATAACTGCATTGCTGATGCGCTCTCTCGTTTCTCCTTCCGAAATTCAGGGCATTGGTGCCTACAGAAGACCCTCATCCGACACCGGTCCCTCTGTTTTCAGCCACAATCTTCAACTGACTCCGCAGCTTGCAACCTGTCCCAAGTTTCACAACAAGCCATCCTCAACAGCCTCGCCCCTCGCACCCTCTCGGCATATCTGACAGGCTGGCTCAGCTTCAAATCATACCATGTAACATATATTTTACCTTTTCCCACTCTCGATACCATGTCCATCTGTCATTTCATCACCCATTCACATTCCATTCTTCGAATTCACATTTCTACCATCCGAACCTACCTTTCAGGTATCAATTTTTCTTTAAACTGGCCACAGGCAACTCCTGTCCAGCCCTTAGCCACAGCCACGTAGCCATGCTGCTCAAAGGACTTAAAAAGCAGGAGCCCCCTTCACTCCCACACCGTCTTCTGCTCACCACCGATCTCCTCACATGTTGCATCCTCACCCTGYGCTCCGGCCATACGTCTCCGTTCGTAGACCTTACACTACAATGCATGTTTCTGTTGGCTTTCTTCAGTTTCCTTCGCTGCTCTGAATTTACCCCTTCTGCCTCCAAACACGACCCTTCCATCCACCCGTGTCTCTCAGACATTTCTTTCGTCAGTCAGGACACCCTGATTTACAACCTCAGGAAAAGTAAAACTGACCAGCTCGGAACTTCTTTTCCTATTCACTTCTCTCAGCACCTTTCTCAGCCCCTACGAACCTYTCGCCCATTACGTGCAAACTCGCATTAGAGCTAACGCTTCTCCCCTCGACCCTCTGTTTGTTACAGAATCCGGCTSCCAGGCCACCYGTTTCTGGTTCGCCAAACACTTCCATCAAGTCCTGAGCAAATCAGGCATCTCTCCAGCCCTTCATTCCATCCACTCCTTTCGCATAGGAGCTGCCTCTTCAGCTTCCTATTCAGGGATCCCTGACCACGTTATTCATATCCTAGGTCACTGGTCGTCCCAAGCATACCGCACTTACATCCGCGATCATCCCCTCGAACTTTATCATGTGCACTCTCGACTCGGGGCATTTCGTCCCTGATACTTTTGGGGGTCCAAAGCAGGCTCAGGAAAGCATCCTTCCTGGAGACCATGCCCCACTCTGAGTCTTCTCCTCAAGCCTCCTTCGACGTACCTCCCCAGACGCCTCATCATTCATCCCACTACCCTTCAACCCCTTTCCTTCAATAAAAATTTTAAACTCTTACCATGGTGTGGTCCTTGCTAGTGAAAGAGAACATAGAAAGCAAAGAGGTGTTTTGGTGAGACTCAAATTCTACCAGCAGGCATAGATCTACATTCTCTGATCCTTGACAAGAAAAGAGCGCAGCAGGCAGAGCGCAAATGGAAAGCTTCAAATCTGACTTGTGACTATGCTAGGTTGAAAGACCTTTATTTATTTATTACAATAGAACAATAAAGGAAGAAAGGTCTAAATATTTTCCCAACTGATTGCTGCCAAATCTCACAACCCAAAGCAGCTTTTTAAAACTATTAAACTCATTAACTCGTCCATCTCCCTCTATAATTGTGATCTCGTCAATAGAAAGATGTAAATCCTTCTGCTCCTTTTTCTGAGCAAAATCTCGAATGTAAGGGTGCAGATTGAGTCATCTGGTTCTGGTCATACACAGACTTTAGAAACTGATTTGACTTTTAATTGTTTTGATCTTCTGTCTCATTCTGATCTACGAAGAATTGTCAGTGGTCAGTCCTGGTTCTGTTGGACCTCTCAGCTGCATTTGATACGGTTGACCACAGTACTCTAATTAATCGCCTGCAATACTCTGTGGGTATGAGTGGAACTTCTCTGAACTGGTTTAAACCTTATTTAAGTGATAGGTTCTTCTGTGTTTCAATTGGTAACAGTTTTTCTGAAGTGGTAAAACTTACTTGTGGCGTTCCACAAGGTTCCGTTCTTGGCCCACTGCTATTTTCTATTTACAACCTGCCTCTGGGTCAAATTATTCGCAAATACTGTATAATGTATCTTTTCATTTTTATGCAGATGATGCCCAGATATATTTATCTATTGATCCTTCAGATCTATCAGCTCTAAACATCCTAAATTCTTGTCTCACAGATATTAAGGTCAGGATGTCTGATAATTATACTGAGGTGTTGGTTTTGGGCCCAAGGCTCATAGAGACCCTATAATTAAAGTTCTTAATTCTTAAGGTTTTATTTGCTCTCATGAGGCCAGAAACCTTGGGGTAGTTCTGGATTCGGATCTGAGTTTTACTAAACATTTTAATAATAGTATTAAAACTGGCTTCTATC